AGCATTGTGTTGCCATGGCAACGGCATTTGAAGAAATCTCAAAACTGTCCCATAGATGTCTTCACGGCTTGATTGATAGCACACATTTGAAGTTTGAGCACTTGTTGAACATTTTCATAGGAGTTAATGTATGGCGACATCTTCTTTTATGGCGAGGGATGCGTTTCCATGGAAACGGTATATGATGACACCCCATAATTGACGTAGAGCTGTTGAGGGCAGGACCATTAACCATTATCTGAAGTCTGCTGCTCTGAGCATGTCAGTTGGAGTTATGACATCATCGTGTTCCATTACACAGGTGTTTATATTTGAGCTAACGACGTGTCCAGAGATCAAAGGTTTCCATTGTTCTGAATGACAGATAAACGTCTTACATGTGAACGTGTTGTTGAAGAACCGTAACAGATATCTGTGAAATTTCAAAACGTGAAGCATGTCAAGGAAGTTGAGTATCTGAAGTGTAATTTTTGTGTACTTTCGGGTTAATAATGTGGCCTTGTTGGCAGATTAACTAAAGGTGTGCGGCTGCTGCTGTGAGGAAATATCAGCCTGAAATTACAATGGGCTTTAATGGAGGCATGTTGAAAGTTTTTGTCACTTCATGCCCTCAAGAGGCATTTTGTTTAATTGTTTTGCTTAATTTTTTTTCATTTTTCAAGCTACGAGATGTTTTCCTACGTTTGTCATGAAAAATTATGTGTCAGAAGTGTAGGGTTTGGGAATTATGGCAGGTTTTAAAAATATATATGAAGGCGAATTTCAAGCTGTCCTCCACTCTAGCTGTGACATCACACACTCTAGGCTGCGCAATACACACTAATGTTAAAATATGAAGAAGGCCTCTTTACCAAGGTCTGAACAATGTTTAATATTTCTAAAAGTATGAATCTGATTTAAAAGTTGTTTAATGTTAATAATGTCAGAAAGATGTAACATTTTAAAGTTGGAATGAGGTTTCTGAGTGAAAGTATGAAGGAACAGTTAGCAGTTGAAGTCGCATGAAGATTTTTCAAGTCTGAAGAGTTTCTCCATTGACTTCCATGTTAAAAATGTGATGAATTGAGATATATTTAGGGAATTATAAAAGTTATGAATGAGAAAAGTAGAAGCAATCGATTCCCGATCGAGCTGAACGTTTTGATATTTGAACCGAGTTTCTGCGATGTAGAATGTGGGAGAAGAAGACTGACAAAGTAACCCGGCGGAATAATAATAAAGAATTTCGTGTGTAGAAGAACAGATAGTTGCAATGCTGTATCAGCATTCCCACTAACTGAAGAACTTGTACTTGTTACAAATTTATTCCAACACTCTGGTATGGATTTGTGTGATGTTTTTCCTATGATCAAAAATATTCAAATATTCCTAATTTATTAAGGTTTCGTCAAAAAAAGTTTCCTCTAACAATTCTGTGTAGTGTGTTTATGTTCAACATATGTCTGTGGGTATTCATTGTCCACGGTATTCAATGTTACATGTCTATCGTAATGTAAAGCAATTTGAGCACCTGGAAAAGCACTAAAATAGATGTAATTTATTATTATTATAATTATTATATAACTATGCGATAGCCCTGATACATTAGTACATTTAAGGAGTTTCATGTTGAACCTAACTTTTCAGAATCAGTTCATAGGGCATACATACCTCCAACATTACCGAGAACAGTGACTGGTGTTTTCTTCTTCTCTGGTGCCAGGCCATACTCCGTCTGAAGCTCCTCTTGTTGGATCCGAGCCTGTTGTAAGATTTTCCGGGAAAGACGCTCGTCGACGTACGTGTCTTCGTTTTCTGCCCGGCTGTCTCTGCTCTTCACTCGGCCTCGGGCTCTCATGGTGTCCCCCTGCAGGATCTGGTCAGCCAGCGGCATTGATCCTCCGCTCTTCTCACCTCCTCCTGTGCCCGCAGATCGTTTCACTTTTGGCATCGCTGTTTCTAACCGAAGATGTAGCTATATTATGTTCTTTTGGTAAAGAATTAACAAGTACTGTGCTGTAAACAGCGACTCGTTCAACACGTGTGGATGTCCATTACAGAAAGGATGTGACGTATTTTACGTCACGTACTTCTTTAACCCAGCAAGAATTTAATGTTAGTTGTTTTTTTCACTGAGATATTGATAAAAGTCATACGTTTAATCTGCCGACAAATAACTATTTTTTATTTAAAGTAGCATATACATTTTTGCAATACAATATCTTTATTTTTTGCTGTTTAAAATTATTATTATTATTATTATTACTGATTTACCTTTGCCGGAAGACTGACTTTTCACCCGGAAGTTATTCACCGAATGCCAAGAAAGAGGAGGAAAAACATCAATGGGAGTCACTTGGTGAGATGATAACTTTATGGTCACAGCGATATTCAAAATCTTAACAATGATTTAAACATTATTTGCGTAATGTCCAATTATCTTTGTCTTCCTTATGTCGGCCTTAACCATCGCGCATATGTTTGCACTTTGCATCGCTGCTTCGGTCACTTCCATTCAAACGATGCTCTGCGAAACCATTTCTGACAACATTACATGCACATAAGAGATCTTAGGGAGGAGGGACTTTGTTTCTCAGGCCCTTTCAGTTAAGGCTCTTGTTTTCTCCCGTAATGCGGTGTTTGTTCGTCCTGCAGTGTGTGCCAGGTGCCCGTGGCAGAGGGGAAGAGCGTGCAGCAGTCCGTGGACATCGTGCACAAGAAGCTGGAGCAGCTGGGTGCTCTGAAGCAGGGCAGCTTCTGGGTGGACTGTGAGACGTACCATCCAACAGGAAATGTCAGCGGTAATATTTGAAGCTATACGTTTTATTCATAGGTTTTCCATCCAACAATACATCATTTTGAATATTTCAAGGCGTGTGATGAGTGTAACCCCCTTTAAGGTGACTATAACCATGGTTGTTAATTAGATTACAAACCTGGAATTACATTGGTAAACATGTTCATGATATATAATAATTTATGTATCAATCTTTAGTTACTAGTACTGCATTTTCTGGCAGTATTCAGTATAAAACTTGAGCTCCTCCTTAGCCAGCTGCAACATTAAAATGAAGAACACAAATGCATCAATAATTACTGTTCAACAATACAACATAATATTGTTTGGATCCTTTGATTTAATATTTTTGAATGCAGGACTTTTAAAATATAGTAAGAAGTATAAAAATACTTCCTACTTGTGGTATTACTCCTTTCACTTTATTAAAATGTCCTATATCATATTATTGACATAATAATAATAATAATGAAGTATTACCGTCACAAAATAAGTATCTAAAAAGATGAAATGCATGCTGAAAACAAGAAATGCACTTAAATAGATAATACCAACGTGTCACTTCTGACAGTCATTATTGTCCGTCTGTTACAGGTCAGCCCTCCAAGCTCTTATACGTGATGCACAACTCTGAAACTCCCCTGAGCTGCATGGGTCTGTTTGAAGGTGGACCCTGCCTGATAGCAGATGCAAACTTTGACGTTCTCATGGTGAAGCTAAAAAGTCACTTCCAAAATGCCAAGGCGCATAAGGTGGAGTGTCGTGGATCTAGATACCGCTACTGTGATTTCTTGATAAAGGTTGGCACGGTAACAATGAGCTCCAGCGCCAGAGGGATATCAGTTGAGGTATGTAGATAAATGAAAAGTAGTAATAGTGGAAGCATAATATTCTCCTGCTGAGAATCCGCTAACTCTTTGAGTGTTTCTTCAGGTGGAGTACTGCCCCTGTGTGGTTCCAGGGGAATGCTGGAATCTCACTAAAGAGTTCATGCAGTCCTTTCTTGGCCCCAGCGTCCCCGAACTACCGTCTGTGTTTGCTGCCAAGGCTGAAGGACTCTTCGCCCCATCAGACTGCGTTGACACCATGACTCAGTACTTGGAGTTGTTCAACAAACTTCGTAAAATGCAAATGCCAGGAAGTAATGTGCGTTGAGTGGTCAATGGCAATGGAGAGAACTTTTTTGTATATTTGTATTGATGTTGCTTTAATTCTGTCCCCCTGGACAGAATTTGTATTGATGTTGCTTTAATTCTGTCCCCCCTGGACATGTTGTATGTACTTTTGGCATTTTTTTAATAAAGCCTGGGATTTTTTTATTTCCATCTCTGGAGCCTCAATGCATTGAACCTTCTTATTTTATGAATGCATGTTGTATTAAAGAGACTTAAAGGTGACTCATAAAACAATGCGTATTCCTGTATTCACAATACACATCTGTTACAGGTTACACTAACAATGTCTCTGTTCTATTCTAGTTTATCAGTGAATAAGGATAAGGGCTGCATTTAATTGAGCCAAAATGTTATTATTTACACCTTTTCCTACTGTAAGCTATCTAAATATTACTTCCACGGCTGGTGTTAAGGCAGGTCAAAGTGCCTGCTGTGAGACAGCCTTAGTATGAATAAAATAATCATGAAAAGGTGAAACAAACACACAAGAAACTTCCCTGGTTTGTTACAAAGGATTGAATAATGGGTCTGAAAGTTTATAGAAAACAACTTCAATGTCAGAATGGTGTATTAAAACAAGCCAGTAAAAAAAATTGTTTTTTCACTTTGTGGAAAATATGATAGTCTGAGAACTGTCCACACCCAGTGCATTTTTTTTTAAAGTGCAGTGCTGGATTACTTTTTGGCACCACTTTCACCCTGTGTTAACACGAATCACATTTACAGGATTAGAGTTTCTCTTTATACACCCAAGTTTAGGCGAACTTAAGTCTATATGTTTTATTTTGGATTCCCAATGGCTGCTTCCAACGGCTAAAAGGGGTTGACACAAGTTAACATTACATTATAAAAAAGGCAAAACATCAGACAAGCAAACTACAACAAAATAATAAAAGCAATTATGTCGATAGGAAAACAGGCAAGCACATTGACATTTGCTATAAAAAAAAGCAATAGGCTACCACTAAAAACAGATATAGAGTGATGGATACAAATAAAGATGTAATAAACTCCCTTGAACCAGACAGCTGTAGCTCACGATTCAGCAATAATACTGTGCCTAAAAACTATACCTCCCCTAATGCATTATAGGATTACCACGCACCAGCTGACACATGGCGAACACGGGTCTTTCGAGGACATTGGGCTCAGGGGCAGTCTTCATCTCTGCTCGGTGTGCGGTGGGTCCAGCCTCGGTTATTGTTCCATGGCATGTGGCCTCAGTGGGTGGACGGACGGACGGTCCATCCTGCTGCCTGTTGTTCAGCCCTTCCGCCAATGAGAGCCGGGCTGCCGCTGAGCCCCGGTCCAATGAGAGCAGCCGGGTCTGGGCTCTGCTGTTCAATCTGTGAGGAGGACAACAACCAGCTCTCAGTGTACCGGATGGATGTATGTTGGCGATGGTAACGTTACCCAGCTTTTTCCGTTATCAGGTGTTACTAATGTAGTAATGAACACAGACGAGGCCCGGCGATAAATTAGACTCCATTAACCGGCTTTCTGTGATGAAAGTCACCGGGGAGTTTCTAAACGGTTAACGATGCAGTCCGCTAGCGAGCTAAGCTGTTACAGTGGTAATACTTAGTTAACGTTAGCGACAACAGCCGTTAGGTTAACTTCGATTGTCCTTAGCAACGCGCTAACCGTGCAGCTAACGCTAGCTACTATTTCAAGCTAATAACATAACATGTTAGCTACTTGATACCATACGAATCATCTGTGTTAACCAAAATGCACACTAGGTGAGAGCAAAAGGCTAGACAAGACTAGGGCTGTGCAGAGCTGCCGTGGCTAGCGGTTAGCGGTGATAGCTAACTTATGGCTGGCTGAGCTGCCTCCGACTAACAAAGTTGTTGGATGTTCCTAGAGAGAGGCTCCCTGACTGCTCTTTGTTCTGCCTCAACATGGGGATGGTAGTGTAGCTTAGCATGGTGGGAAGAGACTGCCAGCCTGCTCCAGAAGACAGGCTTTAAATCCCGGACAGATTTACAGATTGCATATTGTAACATTTGTGAATATCACCGTCACATGCGTTAATGTACTCTTCTAATACAACTGTGTCAATAGGAACACATAGCCGGATTTGGGTATGCCACCAACAAGAAACCAGTTGCTCAGGCTTGCAAGTTAATGGTGTCTTTTCGTTAAAAATGTTTGAAAAGTAGCGGATTATTTACTCAAAGAGAAAAGCGAGAAGAATTGTGTAGCACAGCGCTGGTACCGTGGAGTTAGACGATTACATCGATTAACCACGTATTTAAATGGACAGACAGCCAGCCAGCCCCCTCATGTCCACATTTCTGTCAATACGTTTGGCAGTCTTAAGAATGATCTATTTAAGTTTTAAACATTGTATTTATGTAAATTAGCACAATATATTGTGTTTTAGCATACTGTCAATGACCATCAGACTTGATCATTACCAGCATAGAAAAACTCATGCAGCATTTTTACCGTTACAACTATTCTCAGAGTTATTTGAACTCCAAAGCTTTAAAATGATCTGTAGCCTACTGTCAATCTTGTCAGGTCAAGTGTATTTGAATAGCATGACATATCTTAATGGTCGTTACATGCCTCCATTAACAATGTTGTACCATGCAGCACAACGTCTCTGTGTAGTCACGAAAAAACTGAAAAATTGTCTAGTTAAGGGAAGAAATATATTGTAAGAAACCATCTGTTCCAAGTGTTATTTACATATTATTTAGAGAACATAAATGACACAATTTACCAGCCAAATGCTGGTAACATTGGCATTTGGCTTGTACATTTTCATCCCTCACCAGCCACAAAAATGGTTATCTATTGAGTGGCTGGTAAAATTGGACTATTCACTAGCCATTTGGCCGCTAGAATAAAAAGTGTTGCACTCAGCATAGTGTTTATGTTGTTTGCATATTACGGCAGAATCAAAGTAAACTGTAACTCCCTCTCTTTTGTTTTGAATTAATTAAGCAAATTATTGAATGTTTGTGAATACTTGATTTTCAAAACTGAAATTTTGGAGACATTCACATTAGAAGACCAACAATTTGAAAGGCATTGTAAACTTAAACCGTTGTTTTTATTATTGCAAATGATGTAGTATTATCCCGGATTAGTGGATACCCTTTTTAAAGTGTGTGTTATTGAATACTTTTTTAGTTGAGTTTAGCAGGTGTCTAGGTTTTTTATTTTCATACCAGTGGTTTCAGAAAATGCCTTATTTCTAATTATTTGTTTATTGATAGGCTTAGTTTTGTTTTATTATATAATTGTTTAACTAAACATCTGTTAGCAAAAGAGAAACGTTTTGATGTCATTTATCACTCCTGATGCGCTAATGTCCTTTCTCCCTTTGTCTCAGAATGATACTGTCGGTGCAGGTGGTGACGGTGGACATGGGCGGTCAAGCTGAAAGTTGCTTTTGAGTTTCCTGCAAATATTTTTGATGTATTGATCCACACCTGATAAGGCAAACTATTTTACAGTAAGTATAAGCCTCTTCATTTTGTTTTTGTGCATTAAAGTGCATGTATGCTCATTCATTTCATATTTCATCAATTGTATTCAAGGACAAAAAACAAACCATTTTATTTAAATAATAAACATCTAGCTATTTGTAATGAGATGTCAAATATGGTTTGCAGAGAAGTCTGGAAATTAGAGTTTGAAAAAACGGGGAAAGAAGAGACCTTGAATTAAGACACCATAATAAGTGGTTTGTGAGTCCTTTCAGTATGTTTAAAACGTAATCTCACTTTGTTTTCTCTTACCTCAGGATGAGGTGTTGCATGGTTACAGGACGTGTGTCCTTTCACTGAGGCCACATGTGTATCAGGAGAGATGGATCGTTGTAAGCACGTGGGGCGCCTTCGCCTGGGCCACGACCATTCTGTCCTCAACCCACAGAAATGGCAGTGTGTGGACTGCAGCACCACCGATTCAGTGTGGGCCTGCCTCAAGTGCTCCCACGTGGCCTGTGGACGCTTCATGGAGGAGCACTCGCTCAAACACTTTCAGGAGTCACACCACCCACTGGTTATGGAGGTGCGTGAGCTAGATGTGTTCTGTTTTGCCTGTGGAGACTATGTACTCAATGACAACGCAGAGGGAGACCTCAAACTCCTCAGAGGGGCGCTCTCCACAGTGCGCAGCCCAGGGAGACGCTCACTACGCTCAGCGACCATGGGGGTTTGCACCCCCTGGGTTGGAGACACTGGGCCAAAGCCCGCCATGCAGCTGGCCTCTCGTCACAGGAGGAAAGCACTTCTAGGGAAGATGCTTCGGACATGGATCGGTAAACACCAGGAGCTGCAGAATGAGCGGGAAGAGAAACTTGAGGAAGCTAGAAGACAAAAAAAAGAGGTTAAAAAGAGACTCATGGAAGAGCTTGGCGGTGTCCCTCCTAGAAAGAGTGCTAGGCTTCTTACTCAGGCGCCACGTTCAGCCATCACACTCATTCCTCGCAAATTTCGCGAACCTCCAGAACGCCTACCTCCTGCTTCCAAGAAGCCTTCCCTTCTTACCCTGTCCCGTAAGACACCTCAGAATGGCAGAGCTGCTAAACTGAGGAGGTACTACTCCTCTCACACAGTCACCCGCCGGAGACCTGCTCCAGGTGTCACTGGTCTGCGCAATCTGGGGAACACATGCTACATGAACTCAATATTGCAAGTGCTGAGCCACCTGCAGAAATTCAGGGAGTGTTTTCTCACCTTGGACCTGTGTGAGACTGAGGAGCTGCTGGCCAAGACCAACCAGGCCCAGGGCATGACGGCCGTGACGGGTGTAGTCAGCAGTGGGACCGCAGCGCTGCCTGGGAGCCCTCTGGGACGCGTAGGTAAGGCCGGCAGTTGGAATTTACCCGTTGGCAAAAAAGAAAGTGCTCCTCCTACCCCGCAGCCTTCAGAGTTGGTTCAGCCTAAGGAGCCTCGCTGCTCCACCCGCCAGCAGATGTCTCTGTGCCATGAGTTACACACACTTTTCAGGGTCATGTGGTCAGGCCGGTGGTCCTTAGTGTCTCCATTCGCCATGCTGCACTCGGTGTGGAACCTCATCCCAGCTTTCCGGGGCTACGACCAGCAGGACGCCCAGGAGTTCCTGTGCGAGCTGCTAGACAAGGTGCAGCAGGAGCTGGACACAGAGGGCTCCAAACGCAGGATAGTGATCCCCATCACAAAGAGGAAACTATCCAAGCAAGTGCTAAAGGTTCTTAACACCATCTTCCATGGGCAGCTACTCAGCCAGGT